CCGGAAAATTTTCAAACGAAGCCTACTATTTGGCGTAATATAGCGTTGCAAAGTGGCTATTTCAGGTGTGTGCCGGGAGATATGATTATTAACAGAAAATGGTCGAGTTAACAACATATGTAGTGTCAATTGCAGCGTCAATTCAGAGCGTGCTACTGAGATTTCTCGAAATAAAAACATCTGCCGAGGCATGGGAAAGTTTTGGTATGTATGGCTGACAATGGGAAACGATTTCTCACCGTGATACCTTACAGCAGTCTTAGCAACTAGAACGCGTACGTTACTGTTAAGCCAAGAGCGAAGCTCACAGACGTACGTGATTGGTAACAACGTAACATCGATACGTATAATATACACGTATATGTACGATCTCAGTATAATATACACGTATATGTACGATCTCAGTATAATATACACGTATATGTACGATCTCAGTATAATATACACGTATATGTACGATCTCAGTATAATATACACGTATATGCACGATCTCAGTATAATATACACGTATATATGTACGATCTCAGTATAATATATACACGTATATGTACGATCTCAGTATAATAACAACAATGTCCAGGACCTGTTTTACGGACAGAACACCAAGGAGAAATACAAACATTTACTGTATTCAGTATCAGTCGGAAATTTTTCCGAACCACAACTTTTACTAATTACATCAGATTTAGCCATACCACGGGATGCAGTGCATGCATTTCCACCATAAATGCCCGAGCAAACACAATACCCGATTAAAGCACTCAAGCAAAATCAGGAGTTAATTATATTCATCGCACACCGTCGTCTCTCCTCGTCAGCTTTTGTCGCATTAGCTGTAACCTCAGGACTATTCCCCAACTAATCCCATTAATCGGCTTCAGCGTCAACATTTTCCACGGAGCGCATATTTCAAAGCCGCTCTAGCATAAATTACGCTTATTTAGCGAGTGATTATTCCGTAGATAAAAAGCTCACCCCGGCGCGTTCAGCATTTTTTTCCGTTCGCCAGCGAATTCTTGCAAATTGACGACGACGTCTTACGAATGCGACGAGTATCGTTTGTGCTGATATTACTGTCACTACAATCCACGCGTACATCGAACCAACTCAACATATACGTTCGTTCGTTCGTTCGTTCAACATAATAACACAAACAAATGACTTTTAATTTGTAGGTTTTTTCGTGGGGGCATCTTGGAGTGGTATACCACGCATCTTCACTGTCACTCGGACATTCGAATCTCCATCGGGACGCAACCTGCAATATCCGAGAGAGAAAGAGAGAGAGAGAGAAGGAGAGAGAGAGAGAGAGAGAGAGAGAGAGAGAGAGAGAGAGAGAGAGAGAGAGAGAGAGAGAGAGAGAGAGAGAGAGAGAGAGAGAGAGAGAGAGAGAGAGAGAGAGAGAGAGAGAGAGAGAGAGAGAGAGAGAGAGAGAGAGAGAGAAGAAGAGGGGGGGAAGGGAGGTAGGAGAAAGATACACCGTCACAGCGAATGCAATTTTACGACCTTAAGGAAATTCCGCAACTAGATTACAGCCCTAAATCTAATGAATGGGTTATATATGGATATAACGGGTCCGCGGTGGACACCTAATGCTACCAATTTCCCTCTCAAACACAGAGTTAGCCACGCATCTACAAGCAACGTGTCTACGATGATAGACACAATATATTCGCCCACAAACACAATATATTCGCCCACAAACACAATATATTCGCCCACAAACACAACATATTCGCCCACAAACACAATATATTCGCCCACAAACACAATATATTCGCCCACAAACACAATATATTCGCCCACAAACACAGCACATCTACCCACGCACACTATAATGTCTGCCCACGGACACAACATGTGTGCCCATGGGCACAACGTCTGCCTTTGTGGTTATCCACGCGATGACATCACCATAAATACGTCTACTTTTGTACGTATTTGTGATGGATCTCCCGTTCGGTATCAGGACAAGTACCCCTGCAACCAAATCCAATGGCATTTCCATTCAAAATGATGATGAAGAAATATAAGAAAACATTTACTTGTATTTTTCAGTTTTCTTACAAACAATGATTATGATAGGATTCATTATTTCTGCATATTTCATATTAAGATTTTCACTCATAATTATAGCGACTATGTATATATATATATAAGAAAAAAATCTAATAATAAGTTACAGTTGCCTTGTGTTTTTTCTAGGAATTAAATTCCACACAAATCACCTCAAAAATAAATCAAACTAAAATCATGCTGGAAAATTGTCAGGGGATAATTCTCTGGTAGGTAATTTACCCAAGAGTTAATTATCAGTGGATATTGGTCTTAGGACTCTCTCGCATCCTCGCGTCTTTTACGGTACCCCCACACACCCCTGGGACCCCTACGGCTACTTCCTCACTGAGCTCACTCACACCATCGCAATACACTGCAAGCACCACACCGATCTCTCTCTCCCTCTCTCTCTCTCTCTATCTCAGCCCCCCCCCCACATACACACACTGTCACACTGTAAGCTGATGGGGGAAATGCTGTAGCCCGGAGGTACTGAGTTGGGAGAGCCCTCCCATAAATAATGGCTTCACAAGGAAACACAGTACAAAAGCGCAGATTAAGCTAGAGAATCACAGCGAGCTCATCGTCACGACAACGTGCTGCTCCAAGCATCCTCGGCGCATATGCTCCCAATCGCTATGGAAACGAAACATCGTGGAAATCTGCGGCTGTTATACACCGACTATAGATATGCAAATGATTCCTCCATTCGACGTGAATTCACAAAAGAAAACCACTTCAAGCCGAATTAAATGTAAACAGAAAAGGAATGTACCATGAAGAAATGTGGAGGGTGCTTCAATAGAACGCAACAAGGAATGGAAGCGACAAGTTAGGATTTCAGTTTTCCCAACCGATCTCATTACCATCCTATTATCTACAGTATCTATATCTATTATATTAGTATCTATTATTATTTATATTCCTGACCATTAAAATACTCACGGTTATTGCTTACGTACCAGCAAGTATACAACACATTAAGGCTAAAATGTCTTAGAACACTGCCAAATTGTTACTTTTACCTAAATAAGAAAAGTTTGAAATTTAATTTGTTGACTTATTGTTGATGCCGTTACATGATGATGGCACTTTTTTGTCATTATACATTTTTGTCATTATGTCATTATGTCATTATGTCATTATGTCATTATGTCATTATGTCATTATGTCATTTTTGTCATTATACATTTTGTCATTATACATTTTTTGTCATTTTTTGTCATACAAAGTAATGTAGCCACTGTACAAGTCTAGAACCACTTACATCACCCAAACAGACACACTCTTGTCTGGTGGTGCTGCTTACAGTTACAAGGCAACTGTCATGACATTGAAGAATACACGTGTTATACGCTATTTCATATATAATAAAATCACTAATATGGGTAATCAGTGATATGTCTGCTAAATAGGCGTGACCTAATTTGTCTACATGTTTTCGCATTGCCATTTATTTAATAATAACTATCATCATCATAATAATTTTAAATTGAGAGGGGAATTTGCATGCATGTGCATGTGTGTGCCTGCATGCAAGTGCGTGCATATATGCATGCGTGTGTGCCTGTATGACTAACATGTATCACTCTTTACAGTTACTGTAAGAACCATGTGCATCGCATGCATGCGCCGTCCCACCAACCCATTTGAGAAACACGTAACTTGCAGAAAAAAGGCTTTGATGAAGATAGTATTAAAACTGTGTGCTAACAACGCATAATGAAAGTGTCAATAACACTGTAGCTCACCTTGAGTGTGATAGAAGTGAGAGGGGGGATATATAAAGCAAGAGTATATATGGGAGAACTCCCATTATATAGCATATCTCCGATTATATATACTCTTGATAATGATATATGCATAAGTTTTGATGCGAAAATAAATGTTTCAGATCTGAGAGTCTGAAATCTTGACGAGAGATGGTGCTACGCCTAAATGATTACCATTTTGGTTTTCGAATATCGCGCAAATAAAAACAATAAAATATTCCAGTCAAATTACTGTAACGAAGAATCTAAAACACAATATTACACGTATATAGGTATGATTGTAGAGTTGTTGACCAGTTAGACGAAATAAACGTAATAGGACGTTGTCATCTCTCCCATAGGAGTAACAACTGTTTTGGGGCTAGCCTTACACATACACATACCAAAATTTAACAAAATCAAATGAATTTAGATTTGCCATTTTCATTTTTGCCAAAAAGTGGACTTGGCTCGAAAGTAGGGTGACTAGTGTGCTCCAAAATAGGATGTTCAAACCTCTCCCATAGGAGTAACAATTGCATGCTATTTGAAAGATGTGGGTCAAACGGTTCTTGAGTTATCGTTGACCGTAGGCAGACACTGAAAGGCATAGTAAAATTGCGAAAATCTACCTAATTTGCATAATTAAAAAAAAAATCAAAACCTGTGTGATATGTTTTCGGGTTAGTCCTCATTCATTCACATACCAGAAATGAGCAAAATCCATTGGACCTGAACTCACTTATGCCAATTTCCATTTTTGCCAAAAGGTGGATGTAGCTCGAATGTAGGTCGACTGGCGTGCTCCAAAATAGGACGTTCAAACCTCTCCCATAGGAGTAACAACTATATGAAATTTGAAACATGTGGGTGAAACGGTTCTTGAGTTATCGTTGACCGTAGCCAAATGTTGACGGACGGACGGACGGACGGACGGACGTACGACACCCCATGGCAATAGCTCATCTTGACGATGTCAAGGCGAGCTAAAAACTCAGAGCTTAACACAGAGAGCAACGAATAATGGTTACGTGTCCCGTCATGCGATTACGTCTTGCGTGTAACCGTAACGCTAGGGTCGCATGCCAGAATGCCTCACTCGGAATCATACACCACGCAGCCTGTCGCGTGACGCACGTCGCGTGGCATTAGACTGTAGTGTTGCGACAGTTAGACTACCATGCTTCACACTCACTCATTGGGGAACAGGCTGGCATACTCGAGCACCGAGCCGCTCTTGTAGCCGTCCGGGTTGTTCTGCGGCGTGTCCATGTAGCGTTCGGTGTAGCCCGTGTCGTACGCCTCCCACGACGTGACGGGGGCGCCGGCGATCGCGACCTTGAACACGTCCGGCCGCTGCGCGAGGCCCATCAACGACAGGTAGCCACCTGGTGGTAGGGGAAGACAGCAAGAGAGCCACGATGAGAAATGATAAACTAACCCCATAACCTCAAAAATATTCAAAGTCTCAGGGACTATATCGAAGACAGAAAGAGACTAAGTTGATCAAATAGACAGATCAACACTGCGGATCACAGCAGAAAATGCTTCAACTTTGCATTTAACCAAAGAGGTAGGAAGACTCCCAATATGAAATGACAGATACAAAGAAGCTAAACTATAAGGGATCGTTTGAAGATTACACTTCTAGAGGCACGATGAGAAATAACTGGGAAGCTGCATTAGGAATTCACATCTCTATCTGAGCGAGATGCACTGTTACGATCTTAAGGAAATTCTCCCCTAGAGGTGAGCGAGCGATGACGAGCAGAGACAGCTTGTATCACTATTATACATACCGTAGGACCAGCCGTGGATAGCGACGCGATGCTGGTCTATGTAGTCGACATGGTTAGCGAGCCACTGCAATCCCTCCACGTGCTCGTCTATCTCCACAGTTCCCTGCAGTCAGCCATGCAGACACATACACATAGATGTGTGTGCATTCATGTGCAAAAGTACGTGAGGGGAGGGGGGAACACAAATGCTGCTGCATCTGCAGGATTCGCCAAGATTACATGCGAACACACGTGACAAGAACATTAGAATATTTAATCTTTATTAAAATATTTAACAAGTATGACTAATTATAATTAATGTAAATATTAATAGATAGTATTTGTATTTATTGTGGATGAGTATTTTTATTCATTGTCAATTTTCATTTCATTAATTGCGAAAATGCACGTAAAGCTGCCTTGCTTGCATTTCAGACATGTGGTCATGTGCGCGCGCATATCTTGCAGGATGGGATCTATGTAAGCGTAACCTTGGTAACTCGACATACCATGCGGTGCCTGAGATGTCCCTCGAAGGCGAGGCCCCTGTGGGCGGAGCCACGGTTGTCAATCACAACAACGACATATCCTAGCGACGCCAACATCTGCAGCCGGAGAAACCTGAAACAAGAGAGCATTCTTTTGAGTGGCGAATAAATCAGAGAACAACGTCAATACACACGAATACATGCAGGTTATAGAAACATGGCCAGGCTTATATATATACAGTTAACGTTGATATCGAACACCTGTATAAAACAGACACCTGCCCATAAAATTCTATATTTCTATATACAATAGATAAATGCAGCCACGAATCAGAATGCATGCATGCATACACGTATACATCATATACACACACACCGCACAACACGCACGCGTACACACACCCACATATATATGAACACAGATAATAAATGCAATACTTCTTAATGGATTTTCCGAGACTAGTGCGAGAGAGTACAAGTAGTGAGGAGAGTATACGTCGCGGGCCTGCTTACCTGACACCTTTATAAGAGTTTGTCACTAATTGCACTTCGGGGCCTCCATATACGAACAGCACGGCCGGGTATTTGACTCCCTCCTGCAGTGCGCAGGGTCTGTAGACCATGCCGTACACCTCGTGTCCGCACTGACTCGTGAAGTTAAACAGATGCGGATGTTGATAGTCCGGCGCCACACCTGCGTGTCAGTTGGAGTAAGCACAGGAGACTTTATATGAAAATAGCTCACATCCCGACTATAGTATGAACCATAATCGTGAATGATAACAAAAACCATTGCCAACGGGGCGTTAAACCTGACTCTACGAGAATATTAACACAAACAGAGCATTTGCGATCAAGGCAACGGTCCACATGTGAGAAGTAGAGGCCTGGCCCATCTCTACATGACGCGGACCCACTGTATACTACCACTGGTGTGGGTTCGATTAGTCCATCACTCGATGCCATCGGGCTACACAGCTAGTGAAGTGCCATGAACGCCATCTAGTGAACGTCTTGTTCGACCATCACCTGTGGGTTCCATGATGCGCCCCAGGAGGTGTGGGGGTGTGGAGAGGGGCGTGGCGGCGTTGATGCTGTAGACGTCTGCGACGGCCGGCGTCGTTACGCTGCTGTACAGTGTAACAAACACGCCACAGCTCGTATCCATGGCAACATGATGAGAGCATCCCTCCGCTGTCAGCCGCACGATGTCGCTCGGGTTGTCGTAGGAAACGGCGTACCTGCCAACGGTAACCGTGGCAACGAGCATGAGCGATGGCAGCAGTAATGATGACGAGCATATATATACTTTACTCGTTAACTCAACCACTTCTACAATCACACCGGTTCATCCTGGAGACCACCACTGCATGATGCGAGTCTGGATAACAGGTAACAGGTACGTCTGTAGCAGTGTGTCTCTATAGGCAACTAGGCATACAATGTGTTGCCCATCCATGCCGTCTACCACCCCCTCCCCAACTTGCCCCACCCCTCGTGATGTGCATCTGGATACTAACAGGTACATCTCTAGCAGCTAGCATGTCCCTATAGGCAACTAGCATATTTACCTCAGCGCAACGGAGTTGCAGGGAGGTAATGTAATCGCTCTCGTGTGTGTGTTCGTGTGTGTGTGTAGCGTTGGCGCGATCGATTCAGCACCAGCTCGCCTTAGGGCGTCCAGTCAGCAGCAGCTCGCCTTAGGGCATCCAGTCAGCAGCAGCTCGCCTTAGGGCGTCCAGTCAGCAGCAGCGAGCCAGCTGTTATACACATGTACGCTCGCGGAGGTATGCACTCTCTTTGAGTGCCCTCTGTCTAGTTAATATGTGTTGCCTATTTCATGTAATCTACCCCCGCTCCCCAGCCTGCCCCACTCCGTGTGATCTGCATGTGGATACTAACAGGTGCGTCTCTAGCGGTGAATCTTTGTAGGCGACTAGGTAGACGACACGACACAGCTCGTCCACCCACAGTTGCTTGCCGTTCACCTCCCACGCTCCCGACGTCAGCGCCACCTTGCTAGTCACGCGTGCCGTCAGACACTCCGCTGTACAAAGCAAGAGAAAGTAATCGCACAGCATTAACAGTGTAAAGCACTCGGGTGGTCACCTGTATAGGTTTAATTTGGAACTGATTGGGGGGGGGAAGCGTGTATGAACTGGAAACCTGTCCATATCTTTTCGCTCCACTGTGCGTGCACTGGTGACCGAAAGGTGGGTCAGGAATAGTCTGTTTCACTGACCTTAAGTTATCCCTCATTCAAACAAACGATTGCACTATGCGTATAACTATAGTCCCAACACGAACAAGTGACAAGTCATTGCCAGGGAGACATCAACAGCACACTGACGTGCGGCGCCGAGTGATTATCGTGTGGAGACGCGAGACTTCGAGAGTGGTGCGCGTGCTGATCTACCGTCATTCGAATCCATCAGATCCAGGTTGCCGTGGTGACAGTGATGATGCGAGGTGGGATTCTGCCGCTCTTGCAGCTGCGATGTGATGCGATAGAGATGTCTGAAGCCTGATTCCTCGGAAGCCCAGATGAAGGTCACCTCGTCATCGACGATAGGATGGAGAAAATGCAACAAGTCGTGCACCTGCAAACAAACCACAATCGAACATCAATCGAATGAACCTTCAATCGAACGTCAATTATAACTATATTATCTGTACATACATTAATTCTTACTATAAACTTTGCCTGTCCTAATTTTTTACTATACACTCCGTACACATGTTACTGTTATCTCAATTCTAACAATACACTTTGTAGTTGTACATATGTTATGCTCCCGTTAACTCTTACTATATGCCTTGTATATATGCTATGCATATGTTAATTCTTACTAAACACCTAGTAAACTCATTATACATATGTTAATTCTAAATATAAACCTCAAACATACATTACGTGCAAGTTACTTCTAACTATACACCTTGAGCATATATTATGCATACGTTACTTCCAACTATACACCTCACCCCTACCTTACTCTATGTATTTTATGTCACTACATGCATCCCATACATACATTAATCCAACATTCACTCGTCTCCTCATAGAGGACTTGCACAGAAGAGAAGGCGCCACCGTAGCCCTGGTGGTGAGGCGATTGCGCTCCCGCTGCCGCGTCACCACAACGTAGCGCAGCGTCGTGTGCTGACTTACAGAAGCAGGAGAGCGGCACGAGAACGACCGCAATTCTGTCCTGCCGTCTGCTCAGCAGCTGCACCCACACACTGGAAACACAAGTGCAAGAGAGAGTCAGTCATACGATAGAAGCTGCCGCGCTATCATCACTGTACTGCCTCGCTGCGGCGCAGCGCTAACCAATCAGGGTTGTGATAGCGGCATTCTAAAAGACAATGCTTAGCAACGGTGCGCTGCAAAGTCGGTACTTTGGCATGCGAATGTAAATAACATGCACATACTGGTATAGCTTGACCAACCTAGCTATACAATGTACAAGGGGTGAGCATTCTCTCACTCAGATGAATAGATCAATTCGCCAAAAAATATGCCGTGCAAGTGTTTGTGTGAGCATGCATGCGTGCATGCGGGCATGAGGGTTACGCATAAAGATAGGAAGTATTAACGAGTTTGACCACGTCACTGTGGTTATACATGGGTATAGATTGTATACACGTTGGAAATTCAGAACAGGTTTCTCACTTGATCACTACTTACAACTGTCCATCGGGTGTCCAGTTGACCCGCACAATGTACTCCATCCACGGAAACAGGTTACACAGTTCATCTACCAATGAATAGTCTTCGACATCGGGTCGAATTTGACCATTGCTATCTAGCCTAAAGATTAGCATTCGCAAGGAGCACCGGGCATTGGGGGTACCTGAAAAAAACACGCACATAACACACATTCTAATGCCATGCTTACATACAAGGATTTTTTTCGGCACAGTAAAAATTACCCTAATGTTTGTTCAGTAAAACAAATGGAATATTTATGATAACTTGACATAATGCTTGAAATACAGTTCTAAGTATATTTTAATAAATCGTTTGGGGGTTTTCTTTGACTAATCCCCCATTAGTCTAGCTATACTTCAATAGTGACATCAAACTTCCTTAATGCAGGCACTGCAGTAAAGCAGCAATTTCATTCATGTTTGCTGGCACCATTACAACAAGCTGATGATTACTACCAGTTACTAATTGGACAAGTACGCACCTGCTTTAGGATACCTGTATTCATCTATTCCCTTGCCATCACTGACTGGGGAGACAATGTGAAGAATCTCCACATCAGACTCATCTACAAGTTCATACAGTATCCTATACAGTCCTGTTCCCTCATCTGTAAAAAATATTAAGCAACATTAACATCTACAAACACACATTATCCTATATACGATTCTGCGAATGTAGAAGTAACAATGACAAGAAGCTTACCTTGACTACAGGGCTGCCACCAGTGACCCGTATATCTGTCGAATTCTTCTTGAACGACGAATGAAGGCACACCAGCCATCATGGGGTCTTCCTGCAGACTTACACCCCCTGTAAACACGTGAGCATTGTCACACGAGCCAGCAGGTGTCAGCTACTGATATAGCATTATCAAAGTTTGTAACAGCTTATCCCAGGCTCTCAGATATTACCGGATCACAGCGTGAGACACAAGTCTGCGTGCGACCAGTTGCATGAATTACAGGGAAGGGAGACAGCGCAACGTACTGGTGAGGTATGGCAATAGTGGATTATAGTACCCCTCCATCATCATTACGCAGTTGTATGACGAAATCTCTCCTCTAGGAATTGATGCTAGCCACCTCCCAGAACGATGCTAATGTTACAGTTCTAATGCAGCAGGGAGAGATGGTACAGTGTGGAAGCAGCAGCAGCAGCGACGGCAGCACCTTTGTGCACATGGGTGATGCGCTTCTCGCAGCCTGACGTTGTGTTCGTAACCCAGATGTCGCCGTTGTGGATGAAGGCAACGAGATCCGGGTTCGTTGGACAGATCTTGGGATCCATCCGAGCACCGATACACACGCTTTGGATCTCCGTTGGAAACATTGGCTGCTGCTGCAAACATAAATACACGTGCACACATGCTCACACACAGAGCGATGAGAGTATGGTCCATTAACATGTAACTATAAATTTTTGAAAACACGGCGCCAATTTAAAACGACTATTCGTGTCGCTGTTAATATAATATATTCATACTGATAAACTATTGGAAAAAGATGATGGAATGCTTTCATGATATTGACAGGTGGAGTGGGTTTCGCCCACAAACAAGAACACCATTAATTATGACAACATGCGTTCATACAATATGACAAAATACATTACGTATGATTACCGTAAAATTTCCATCAGTGCAGAAGAACAGGCTATTGCACGCTGGGAAGACAAACTTTCCCGTGGCCATGTCGACGTCGAAGGACGTGATGCCCATCATTCCGAGACGCTTACGCTCACGTAGCAGCTGTTCTTCCTTCGAGTACTGACCCATAAATGGTGTTGCCTGCAATGACACCAACCTTTAAAATATGACCCATAAATGGCATTGCCTGCAATCACATCAACCTTTAAAACATGACCCATAAATGGTATTGCCTGCAATGACACCAACCTTTAAAATATGACCCATAAATGGCATTGCCTGCAATCACATCAACCTTTAAAATATGGCCCATAAATGACATTGCCTGCAATCACATCAACCTTTAAAATATGACCCATAAAAGGCATTGCCTGCAATCACATCAACCTTTAAAATATGACCCATAAATGGCATTGCCTGCAATCACATCAACCTTTAAAACATGACCCATAAAATGCATTGCCTGCAATCCGATCAACCTTTAAAATATGACCATAAATGGCATTGCCTGCAATCACATCAACCTTTAAAACATGACCCATAAATGGTATTGCCTGCAATGACACCAACCTTTAAAATATGACCCATAAATGGCATTGCCTGCAATCACATCAACCTTTAAAATATGACCCATAAAAGGCATTGCCTGCAATCACATCAACCTTTAAAATATGACCCATAAATGGCATTGCCTGCAATCACATCACATTTAAAATATGGCGCCATAAATGACATTGCTGCAATCAACATCAACCTTTAAAATATGACCCATAAAGGCATTGCCTGCAATCACATCAACCTTTAAAATATGACCCATAAATGGCATTGCCTGCAATCACATCAACCTTTAAAATATGACCCATAAATGGCATTGCCTGCAATCACATCCCTTTAAAATATGACCCATAAATGGCATTGCCTGCAATCACATCAACCTTTAAAACATGACCCATAAATGGCATTGCCTGCAATCACATCAACCTTTAAAATATGACCCATAAATGGCGTTGCCTGTAATCACATCAATGTTACAACATCTATACTATAATTTGGCTAATCTTGTGTGTGTGTGTGTGTGTTGTGTGTGTTTGTTTTGTGTTCGCTTTTCGCCCTGATTTGTCACTCAATCGCGCTAACTGAGAATATTTCAGAATCACCACGTCTGGAGATGGTTCTGGCCTGAGAAAAAATTAAAAATGTTTAGTATCAAGTTTAAGTCAAAAATTCGAAAAAATGCTATTCGTCAATAGATGGCAGTGCGTACAGCAGATCCACATCACGATACGTGGGAATTACATTGCGTCTCTTGACTGGCGTCCGTATGAGCATATTCAGAATCACCACGTCTGGGAGATGGTTCTGGCTCAAACAAAAATCTATTCCTCAATAGATGGTGCTACGTCTCAGATCCCCCCCCCCCTACTGCAGATTCCCCCTGCTCACTCTGCTTTGACGTACACCGTACTGACACAGTAGTCAGTGGCCAGTAGCTGTTCCAGTGTTCTGTTGTACCCAGTGCAGTGGTTTTCTTTTCAGTTACATGAAATATTTAACTTTATCTGTGTCACTTACATGGAGTTTTTATTACATATGCTGGTTCTACGGGTATACTTTCTGCTAGTCACCTATAAACGGCATCACCTGCAATCCTACCAACGTTACATGACCCATGAATGGCATCGCTTGCAATTATATCAACATTACACAACCCATAAACAGGGGTAGAAATTAACTTTTGAACAAGTGAGTCAAGCAGACTCCCTGCCCTCTAAAAGAGGGAGTCCGCAGCAAAATGAGGGAGTCCGCAGTCTGAAAATCAAAACTAAAGCATAACAACAATAACACTTGCTTATTTTTAAGATTCATGCAATGCATGTCTGCCAAATTTTCTTTGAATATTTGCTGAAAAAATATGGTAATTCCGTGAGGCCGTGCTCTGAAACAAACTAGTTAGTATAGCAGAATTTTCAGGGAGTCACACAGACTCCTGTATATGTCAAATCAGGGAGCCCGACAGTAAATCAGGGAGTATTTGACTCCGGACTCCCGTTAATTTTGTACCCTGCATAAACGGTTTCGCCTTGTTTGCCTCCCGTGTCCTCTCTAACCTATATGGTGATGCCTTAAAAATTCCGATATGACCCAACGCAACACTTGCCTTTCCCCCTCTCTTCCAAGTTACAATTAAAATGCGATGCTTGCAGTGCGCGCACTCAACGCACCTGGAAGGAATCGAGTAGGTGTTTCCACGGCAGCGTGGCGGGCGGTGCATCTCGCCCCACTGCCGTTGCCGCGGGAACATCGACGTACATGATCGTGTTCTCGCGGCTGTGCTTCGGAACACCGAGAAAGTAGATGCGCCCTCCCGCTCCCGCTCCCACGCCGGCCGCCGCACGGAACACGAACCCGCTCGGCACGCGACTAGCGATAGCCGTCTGCTGGCGTCGGATGTCCCTCGCTGCCTCGCGCAGCTGGTTCCACGACTGGTTCGTCATCGGCTGGCCGTTGCCGTTGCCGTCGCCGACTCGCTCGGTCATGTTGTCGTTCGATTGATCGACACCGTGTCCACAGTGACACTATGTCGGCAATGATTCAAGCATTGGTGGAGTGTCTGTGATGCTCGATGCGTTTCAGAGCTAATGCGCACGTTCGCCTTCGTGCATTAATGTCGACGATCGGTTAAGACTCAGCAAATGTCATGGCTGCGGGTAACACAAACAAAATAATGAAGCAATTTAAATTTTAGGGAAGTAGATTCTAGTAGATTCACAGCGAGCGAGCGAGAGAGAGAGATAGAGAAACAGAAACTAAAGCTAAGAGGGTCTATCTCCCCCAGGGTACTGCCGGAACGTACCCTGGGTACGGTCCGGTATACCGGAACGTACACTGGTACTATCTAATAATATGCCGCACCGTACCTCGCACACTCCACTAGCCTACGCCTACTCCCTAATGCTAACCATATCAAATAGTGACCAGGGTACGTTCCGGTATACCGGACCGTATCTAGGGTACGTTCCGGCAGTACCCTGGGGGACATAGACCTTATGAGTATGAGTATGAGCGAAACTAAGTCTAGACTATAGTATAAGGAAGCCAGAGATTGAAAGGTGGACGTGGTCGACAGAGCCACAGAGTTAGGACAAAAGGCCAATACGTAGCAGTAAAGGCAGCCCGACAAGGCGCCACGACTGTTTCACTTCTCGCCACATAGGCCTAGAGTCTTTATTAGAGAGAAGGTAATTTGTGGCTAGTCTACGGGCCAATGCGAATGGCAGTGCGGTAGTACTAGTACTAGTACTAGTACTAGTACTGTGATTGTGAAGGTGAGGAAACATACGTGCTATCGCGGCGTTAATCACAACGATGTTTGTATTTCAACATTTATTGTATACGGGCAGAACAACTGTGTATAACGTTAAAAATAATCTAATGGGTGCATCTTTTAATTAGTCAACATAATTGCAACATTTAACGCGTATGCATATCTACAACCATTCACATTACATTCACACTGTCACTGCTTTCATTCACAGCTTTCATTGGACTGAAACAATAGAGCATCACTGACCCGATTTGCTGACCGCACAAGTAGAGGTGCAGACTATCGTGTAACAAGCACGGAATATATATGATTTGCCTATATAAGAGAGACGAGGAGCCAGTCTTATTAATACACTTTAGCATTAATTTGCATCTTTCTCAAAAATTGTAGGCATTTGCTGAAATTATATTGTATGTGCTGAATGTTTATTACTTTCTTATTCTTCTTATTTGCATTAAAAAGTTCACATTTTACATAAAATATAAAATGTCATTAATAACGGAATTATTTTAAAAATATAAAATGAATTGACATAGGCAACGGTAGGTGGCAGTGTAAATTAGCGCCATCAACCCGGAGCGCAGTAAGAAACACGACTTTATGAGTTTTTGAGAACAACCATTTGTTGCAGTAGTGTTGTGTAGGCAGAAATTGTTTGCTTTCGAAGTTCATGTAGGCCCTAATGAGTGATTTGATAGATCATGATTTGATAAGTTCTGTAAATTCGACAATCCATTCGTTTAGAGACATTTTACACGCGGGAACAGGTGCCGGTAACAGAACAAATAAACAAGGTAGGGCTATTATAGGACCTAGCAACAAGATACCTTTTCGCTTCTCACTACTAGACTTCCTAGAACGTGACACAGTCGTAGAACCTCGTTGGGCTAAGTACGACCTAACTAGCTTCACCATCTTTTGTGAAATACAAGAGTGGGACAATATTATACGATACGATACCTAGTAGTAGTACCTACGATACCTCGATATATATACGATTAGTGCCATTCGATTCGGCTAAAAGGCTAACTAGGCCTACCTGGCTTTACCCTAGCTCTAGTACTATAGCCCGCGTTCATTAACTGCCGCAGGGCTATATAGAACATTGTCAGCTCGATTTCGCTACTGCATTTGGTCCCGATTGGTTCCACGGAAAATGGCTCAGAAAACGTAGGGGGTTTTTAACACTTATTTATTTACATGGATATCTCACCTATCTTTTTGAACACTTTCCACAACTTTACACCATGTATTTATGCCTTTAATAGCTTTATTCCTCACAGGTCAGCACTACTGGCTGTACCATTTGAAATATTGTGGCGTGTGAACGCGTGATGTCACCGGATATCATTCCTTTGCATCATTCCTTGATATACGGAAAGTCTGTGCATCAGTTGATGATACACAGAAATCTGTGCATCACTTCGTGATACCTAAGGCGCCCATTTCCTCCTACTAGCAGTGTTTCCCCTGGTCAAAAACGTCAGCGAGTCGGTAAAAATGTTTTTGGTTGTTGCGCAATCTGAGAAGTGAGCAATGCGAGCGCCGAAGGTGATCGCCATGCTAGGGGGGTCTCGGGGCATGCTCTTCCGGAAAAAAAGGTGCAATTTGGTGCATTCTAAGCTTTATTCTGAACACATTATATGAGACTCTTGTATCACTTTTTCAAGTTGTCAAAAGGAAAAAACAAGCTTCTGGGAAAGGTTTTACTTTCGTTTTTCTCCTCCCCAGTCCTCAGTACCCCCATGCATAGATCAATGCTGCTGCATATCCGCAAAGTTACAAGTGCCTAGAATCTTGAAGTATATACCGTTTACATTGCTTCTAGATATCTAACTGAATAAAAATAGTCGACTTTCTACGTAAAGAAAAGTGCTGAATTCAGTTAACAGCTTTGATTACGTGCGTGTCAGGTGTCACTGGTCGTGCCCTCACTCCCCACGATAACCCCCTGCGACATATGAACTTATTGTTATGCGGTCATAAAAACACTGGGCTACACTACAGGCCGCAATCGATTTCTTAGACTGTCACGAGGTTTTGTTCTCGGCTCTAGATGTTTTGGATATCCCGTCTACGTTCAGGAACGGAGCGTATTAGAATGCGCTCCTGTTTACAAGTCTGTCTAAACTGCAGTTGCGATAACCGTAGTATTTCAGCTTAATATGAGGGGAAAAAGTGCTGCTCAGGAGGACCGGCAGTTTCGTAGAGATGGTGGCCAAAGCAAAAACTTTGTGGCCTCGGGCCTCCGGGTCGGAACTATCGTCAGCGAGGCGGTGTTTTTGGATAAATTTCTGCGTGGCAGCTGAGATTTGAGCGAGGCAGCCGCCTCGCTTGTGTCTATGCAGGGGAAACAATGTACTAGTACTACACTCTACAGGACCTACAATATACATATGACTCATTGACACAGAGTCACCGACAATGACTGATTTTAGGTGAATGTTTGCAATTGCAGAACTGCAGAGTTAGGAATGCTGTAGTTTGTAGCACAATAAAAAGGGGATCAGTGATAGTTTGCAGGGCGTGAAATTAGCACCGGCCCACCGGCGTATGCCAGCAAATTATTTGGAGGGCCGGTAACATTGGCAAAACACCGGCCCTTCGAGCCTGTGGTTTCAGCCATGTGAGCGAGTAATATAGATCTACATTTTTTTATAGCATTAAATTGACTACGTCACGAATTTTCTATGGTAAAATTTGTAAAAAAAAATTGCCATTTTTTTACATTAAAAGTAAGAACTAACGTTACTAAACATATCCTCAAACTCTCACCTGATAAAAATGTTTTTACGTTGGTTAAATTTGCAAAAATCTAGACGATTTGGTAATTTCTGTTGTCTAACACTATTCCCCCAGTACTGTTCAGATACTGGCGTTTCTCGTTTTTTCACCGGCAAATTAGGGCATATAAAGAAGACCTGTATATAAGCATGAAAAGTAAACTGAAACACTAGTTGTATTTTCATACATTTTATTTTGTACAAATAACACACACATATACTACTTGATGGTGCTAGAAATTCGTGACTTAATCACTTTAATAAGCAAATAGCCTACATTACTGTTTTACCTGAAGGATATCACGTCAGTGCTCGAAATAGGAAAAAAAATGTGGTTGTCCTGCGGACAACCCCCGCATCAAATCGGGTTGTCCGCAACAATTTCTGGTTGTCCCAAAAAATATCCCCAAATCTCCTATTTTCAATCACATAATAATATGATCAGAAAACACCCAAAAACAGTCTGCGTACCAGGATTTTTTTAACAAGGGCGGACCAAAACAGCGAACTGCGCAACAATGAGGGATGACTTATATATTTTACTGGGTCCTTCCGCCTCCTCTCCACACCCTTCGGCTCCTCTACCTCTCAGCTCTGCAATCCATGCGAAAAGCCGACATTTTTGTTCATTGTTCTCTGCTCCAAGATATGTAAATTGTTCAGTGCGGGTTAGGATTCCAGGAGGGAGGAGTGAAAAACAGGCATAGGGGGGTGGGTATGGGGTCCTTCCCCAAAATTTTTTTAAAACTGCTGGTTTGCTGGTTCCAAATCGAGTTCACCTCTCATAAATTCAGAAAACCTGACATATACCAGTGTTGGAAATAGCAGCTGGTCCCATATTTTTATATTATCACGATTTAATTCACAATAAAATTTCTTGATGAGCTAGAAAACACTCGGATTTTAAGTATGAAACTGACATTATTGTGCCAGCTAGCCTACACCAGGTTGGTTGGTATTGTGTCAGTTCAGATGCCAAAATATTTTGAAAGCAAAAGGTATACACCATAGATTAATGGGTACACGCGTATATTATAAGATAGCCGAGTCGGGTTTTAGAGTCGATGTTAGGGTTAGGTAGTGTGTTTCTGGTTGTCCAGGACAATGTCTCAGACTGGTTAGGTTGTCCGGCGCAAATTCTGCGGTGTCTCGGACAACCGCGACAACGCTTATTTCGAGCACTGCACGTCATAATTTCTCAACATTTTACACATTTGAAATCGAGAATGCAAGCGTGAAACATGACATTGATTTTCAAATAAAATTTGTGAGGGCTGGTAAATTATGGTGAGGGCTGGTTAAAAAAAAAAGCTATTACCAGTCCTCTGGGCCAGTGCAAAAAAATTTGAATTTCATGCCCTGAGTTTGTGCCGCGTTCAGGATACCGGCTGAACATCATTTGATAAAACAAAACTCATTGTCAAACAAACACACGAAAGCCAAACAAGCACACACTGACACAGATCACTCCCCAGTAGTTTTGGTTGTGATTCCGAGAGCATAAAAAGGTGTCTAATCGGAAAAAATAAACTTGTATTCTTTAACCAGGTAGCCAAAAAATCAAATTTAAATCATAACATGGTCCAAATTGGCCCCTTTATTAAACACATACTATCAAACAGGCTCTATGACTGATTCACATCGTAGAATTGCCCGACAACATTCGATGCAAAAAACCGTGTAGCCTGAAAACACCGAATTTCTTATGTAGAAGAATCATATAAATGATAAAATCAGTTGGATATCACATACATCGGTATCCGTTGGTGTTGCGTGGAGTGTTGCGGTTCTGTTGTTTGGTGTGTCCTTATTCATTCTTGTTGCACGATCACTACATTGCGAATTCGCTACTCGCTCGCCCATGCTTTGCAGAAACTACACTCATCGAAAGCATGAATGGCGACAGTTTGGATGTGAGCGGAGAGGGTGGAAGCGATGCTACGAATGATACTAACAGTCAGGTCATGTAAGTATATATAGTGTTATAACTCAGTAATGTCAGGAGTTAATAAAGACAAATTTATCTTAATAATTTTAATAATTTTAATAATTTAATTAATTTAATAATTTTAATAATTTTAATAAAGACAATTTGTCTTTATTAACTCCTGGTAATGTTAAGGCCGCACTTGTAATGTTGTTTTTGTTGCTGCTGTTGTTGATGTTTTTATTTATTTCCTCCTTCAGTAGGACAACTTCATTGTGTAGGCTTCACAATGTGTACTAGGTTGTGCTTTCTGATATACATACAAATACCAGGGGCCGTCTGTCAGAACAAAATTAGTCGCAACATTAGTCTTACCATTAACTTCCACCGTAAACCGTTGACAGAAACATCGTAATGTTGCGAGAACGAAAAATCCTCGCAAATATCCTCATAAAAATTACGAGAGCCCAGACCCTCTCGTAACTTTAATATTAAGATGAAAATAACACATTTAACCTACGAATTACAATTATAGTGATATTATATTTTATAATAATGAATAAAATGTATGTTTTCTTGAAAAACACGTCAAAATCATTAATTATCTACGATGATAAAACAAACAAAACATTTACAATTGGCATATGGCATTTGTTCTCTTGTTCTAAAGGTTTTCCACGCTTGCACGATTCTCGCGTCTCGCGTTACAGCGTGAGAATTTGTCTTGTTGTGCAGAATTAATTCATGACCACGTCGTTTTCATCAAATATTTTTATATGTGGTTAGCCATCATAATATGCATAAATTACTGTGATCTAAATAAATGTGTATTGAATTTGGAATTTTGTGATTGATTCTCACCAATCAGCAGCCTTGTGATGAAGTTCTCTTTATCGTAAGTTTTCTAATAGCTGCGATTGTTTCTGTCAACGCTTAGTCTCGCAACATTAGTATTAGTCGTAAGTGTTATCGTAGGCATTAACTTTAGCATTAACGTTGCGATGTTTCTGACAACGCCGGCCCCCAAAAAAAAAAAACAAAAAAAACAAAAAACCCCAAAACACGGCATTCAAGTCCTATTTTCCCTATTTTTTCCTATTTTCGGGCGCCAATTC